GAGGAAGGTGAACAAAAATGGCACCGGCCAAGACAAAGAAAATGTGAGAATGACAAATAATAATGATAATGAAGAAAAGTGAGACATAATTTGGAAGGTAATGGGTTCATCTTTTGTTTCTATCTTTTTCAAGTATGTCACCAAAATGAAGTTAAGCATGTGGGGTTTGGATATTCTTGCTCGACCTGTCCATGGACCTTAGATATGCTCATCCACTGTTTTTAAGTATCCTACTTTTTAAAGTTTTAATTCAATATTTTATAGCCCTACCTAATAATTATAACACCTAAAATTCATGCTTGCTTTTGCGTTATGATAGTATATTATTTATTCTATATGCTTAGCATGTAGTATTAGGGGTGTTCGGTTTCAGGTACCCTACATTTTTTTAAGGAACTGGAATCGGAACCAATGGTTCCTTGAAATTTGAAACCGAAACCGAAACCGGAACCGACGATTCCGATTCCAAGGTACCAGAACCAAAACCTGTAACAACAGTTCTGGTTCTGGTTCTAGGTATCCTGTAAAATTCATAACCCCCCAAAAGTTTTTAAAATGGCAAAAAAAAACACTTAAAAACTTACAAATACACCCCCCCGGCCTGACACTTGTTAACAAAAATAAAATTATAAATTATAAATTCAAAATTACAAACTCCTTTACTTTGTAAAGGTAGATTCTCAAAAGTCAAATCAACTTACTTTTAAATGTTATGAAATATAAATATAAATATATTCATATTACTTTTTCTATAAAAGTTTTTATCAACCCCCCTAATCTTTAATTTTATTTTATATTATTCTCGATTCCTGGTTCCAGTTCTGGTTCCTAACTATAGGAACCGGAATCGAAATCGTACAGCAACGGTTTCAAAATTTTGGAACCGGAACCTATTCGTTGACGGTCGATTATGGGTAGGAACCAGAACCAAACCCCAGGTATCCATCAGTTCCGATTCCAACAGATTCTTTTGAACACCCTTATGTAGTATTGTAGAATTCTAACCTTGTATCAGGACCTACGAGCCAAGGACAATCTCAAATAGATAGTTTTTATGAAACATAAACCTCTTAAAAGGTAATGAAAGTGTTGCAAAGGTTTACTCGGGTTGGACAGAGATTAGAGCTTGACTATAAGACCCACTTGTCGAGGAGGGAAGAAAGTCGGCCTTAGTGATCCAACAGTGGCATGTGGAAGGATCATGGCTCGACAGATAAAAGTTACTCTGTGGAAACTTAGGGAGTGATCCTTTAAAAAGTTTAGCCCTATCATCTCTAATCCATTTAATTTGGTAATTGACAATAAGAAATTAAGTCAATTTCCCTTTACCAAATTTATGAAAAATCACACTAAATAGGTATCATTTTCAATGTGGTTGAGCTACTTGGACAATTAATTAATTAATTGAAACCATCCAATCAAATCTGTGAGTCAAGATAGCATTAAATGAAGGGTTGACTCAAGTCAAATAAGAAGAAGGAAGAAGACAAGACAACTTGAGAAATTCCAAGCTTTTAGAAAAGGCCATAATCCTGAAATGGGCCTGGGCCTTTTGACTCTGCAAAAACTGGAACCCCAATGATGAATATCTAAAGAAAAGCAGATCAGTTGCATGGCTGCCACGTGTCAATCCAATTTGGCACATCAGCACGACAAATTTTACAAGAAGAATATGATTCACAATGCAGCAAAGAAGCAGGAAAGGAACAGAGAAAAGAGAATTTTACAAGCGTATTACAAGGGCATGGCGGCCATGAACATATTGGCAATGAGAGAGTGTTTCTGAGAGTGGAGAAGATGCAGAAGGATGAAGAAGTAGAACAGAATGAAGAAGAAATTCATGCAAAGGTTGAAGATGATGGATCAGGAGATGTGGCTGATAATTGCCATGGCTGCAAGCAACAAGCTGACCACTTCAAATGCGTACACTGCTAATTTACATAAATAAATATATAACATTATATAATTATATATAAAATGTTGTATTTGGAGTGTTGAATGCTCGCACTTTGGCACCAAGATTTCTGCTGTGAATATTAAAAGGTTTTTCTCTGTACATTCTGCGGAACTGGAACCCGTTGTAGTTAATATCTGTACTTGTACTCTCTACGATCAAAGCTGAAGATATCGTTATTTGCTGTTTGAGTTTATTTCCAATTCAATCGTGTAACATGTACTATATTAAACCAATTATAATCAATTTTGGGGGATCCGAGAGAGATTAAGTTAGACTAAAAAAAGAGAGAACTCAAGAGGAAAACTCGTTAGATAATTCTTTATAACTCCGAATAAGTTTGTATAACTTAACTCGTTAGTATACTCAATAATATAACACTAAACGTAGGTTTTACATTATAAGAAGTCGAATCACTTTAAAAAATATCTCTTGTTTTTTGTTATTATGCTTTAATTACAAAATGTCATCTTTTGGATTTTATGAAAATTACATATACAAATTAACCTAATATTAATTCAACGGCATGAGATGTTGGACTCAATGGTCGTGGCAGATTAAAATTTTTAATTAATTTATGATATCCAATGAATCAGTTGGTTTGTCATATTATGCTTTAATTATTTGACATTATCTCCTTATCCTTGATTAATAAAATTTAAAGTATTAAAAGTAAGGGGTTTGGTCGGCAAGGAAGACCAGCACTTTCTCGAGATCTGACTTTATTAATATGAAAACTTTCTCGTGAAAAATTATTGTTCTTACTCTTAGATATTAGATAATCAGAATCAAAATTCATTTTATATCGTTATTGTTTTTAGAGTAAAAACCACTTACCCACCCAAGGTTTGGCGAATTTACGTTTTCACCAGTGCAAAATCTTGTAAATTCACCTATAGTTTCATAAATTGCAAATTCCCACCCAATTTTAAATTTCAAACGTTAAATTTAGCAATTAAAAGGATATTTAAGTTTTCTTATCCAAAAAATAGAAAACCTGATCTTTTTCATTCCCCCAAATTAGTAAACTTTCAAAATAATCTTCCACATTTCAAAATTTTCTCATTTCTAACTCTTAATTCCTCTCTGCCTTCAACTCCTCCACCACCACCACCAACACCAACACCAACACCATCGGCGGCTAGATCTGATAGCCATGGAGAAGAGGAAAGGAGAAAGAGAGAGAGAAAAGAGGATAGAAAGAGATGGAGAAGAGATAAGGAGATAGAGAGAAAGAGGTGGACAAGGTTGAAGAAGAGGGTGTTATTGAAATAAATTTAAAAAAGAAAGTAGTTACTTTTTTAATTCTATTAATTGAGGGTTATAAAATAATTTATTAAATTTAGTCATTATTATAATAAGGGGTAAAAAAAAAAAGTATTTAACCAGTCAAACCTGATCAAAGCAAAATTTATCTTAACAAAGTTAAAAAATAGGTAGGAATTTGCAATGTCCTTTACTCTTGTTTTTATCGATCAAGTAAAATCAGCTTACAGCCATCAAATAGCAACAACTCCACCGTGCGTGACCATTTCCAAAATAGATGAAACATGACCCGTCCAGCGTCCATGACAAAAAGGGAACCAACCAAGGAAATCCAACAACTTAGCTGATGCTGATGGCTCAGTGCTCTTATATTTTTGGCATCTTCTTCTTATTCTTTTTCTTCAGCTGTCATCATAGCGTGTCCACCAACATCATCTTTTACGAAGACATTTGGTATTCATCGTTGATCTAGTAGTTAAAGAGGTTTGTTCTTTTCCTTGAGTTCATAAGTTTAAATATTGCGGTTATCTATCACAATAACATCGTGGCTTATTTGGTTCTTTGAGTTTGTAAAATGTTCAATAGATCTTGAGGATTAGTTAAAGTGAACGTAAATTGACATGGACAACTCTAGTAACCAAAACAAAAAAAGATGGTTCTGTGACAGATAGTTAGAGATGGTAGTAGGCCTGATATTTTCAGATACTCGGCCCGACCCGAAAAGGTCGGGCTTTACCCGATGTTCGCGAGCTTGGGTTTGGTCCTGGACTTGACTTTAAGGCTCGCCTCAGGTACGGGCTGGGTCTGGGTATGTCTTCAGGCCTAGCCCGACAATTTTAGTATTAATTATACTAAATTACCTTTATACTATATTTTTAATTACAAGATTATCTTACATATATATACTCATTTTTCCCAAACCCTACATGGATGGATGGATGCACTTTGTGGAAAGTTATTTATATATTTGGTGAGTATTAAAAAATAAATTAATATTTAATTTTTTTTATAGAATTAAAAATATAAAAAAAATTGAAATTTATTAATATTTAAATATTCACATTTTAAAAATAGGCGGACTTGGGCTGGGCTTGAAGTTACAAAAAGCCTATCGAACCGGGCTTGGGCTTTACTTGTGATACCAGTGATGGGTTTGGGCCTTTGTTGTGAGGTCGGGCTTGGGCCTAGGCCAAGGGGTACTAGGTCCCGGCCTGGCCCGGCCCATTGCCATCACTACAGATAGTGAATAAACGGGATAAAAGTCGAGTATGTTTGGATCATTGAATGATAATGAACGGTATTAGGATCAGGGTTCTCTCCTGGTTTGATCTACAATTGAGCTATAATGAATAGTATTAAGATCAAGATTCTCTTATCATTTAATTTATATGAACAGATAAAAAAAGAAATGTAATAAAAGTTTTAAATATATTTATTATTATTAGACGGGATGATAAACGAAATTAATATCAGAATTCTCTACTGATTTGATAATTACTCTGAATGAAAGGCGTTTAACACAGAATTCACTGGAGAAGTATATTTCAATATGCCTTATTGCAAAGTCTCATGGAAGTGGGAAACAGCCCACCTATGAAGAAGTTAATAATTTCAATTTCAAATAATATAAATTATAGATAGATATCTTTTTTCTCCATCTCTTCTGACTTTCAAATCCATAATAATTGTAAATAATATCTAGTGAAGAATTTTAATGCGTACATATTTAGCGGTGCTTCACATTTCAACAGTTAAATAATTGACTAGCACATCATTTGTCTATATTTTCTTCACCATATATCATTCACTCCATTGTCTGCAACCTGCATCAAAACTTTTCTTCACTAGCTGAAGTAATCTTACTTTTTTTGAGGAAGACGATTAAGAGAGATGGCTGAGCTGCAGCCTCTTTTTGAGACCAAACAAGCAAAGGGGAGAGCTGCTTTCAAGGTGTTTACAGCAACAGTTTTTGCGGGGATATGTTTGATGTTAGTTTACAGGTTTCTGCATATTCCGAGAGGTGGAGAAGAAGGAAGATTGACTTGGATTGGGATGTTTATTGCAGAAGTTTTGTTCAGTTTCTACTGGATTATCACTCAGTCTGCTCGCTGGAATGTTACTCATAATTTCCCTTTCATTCGGAGGCTCTCTCAGAGGTCAGTTCATCACTCTTTTTCATTAATATTAATCTTGAAACTTGACAACAGTTTTGTTCTTGTTTCTGTTTTTGTTTTTGGTTTTCTCTGAACTTGGTAGTCATTATTTTCATGAGTGATTTGTAGAGAACCATGTGCAAATTTTGATTGGCTATTGTCTAATAGATGCACTTTTTTACTTGGGTTTGGTTGGCCTAGATATTGTGAATCTTTCTGAAAAACAATATAATTATTTAATATATAATTAAAAAAAAATTATTGCACTACCTTTAGCTCTGTGCTTGGACCCATTAAAAAAGCAAAAAAATATGTTATAAATGCTGAGTTGGACATGAAGTAAACGTTATATAATGTGTTTAATGTTGATTTATGAAAGTTAAAATGAATTAATATGATTGAAGAAACTTTTAATAAAATTTTACAGATATGAAGACAAGTTACCAGGAGTTGATGTATTTGTGTGCACAGCTGATCCAATTATGGAGCCACCAACTTTGGTGATCAACACTGTTTTATCAGTGATGTCCTTCAATTATCCTCCCGAGAAACTGAGTGTTTATCTATCTGACGACGGTGGATCGGAGTTCACATTCTACGCCCTCCTGGAGGCCTCTCATTTCTCTAAATTTTGGATACCCTTTTGCAAAAAATTCAAAGTTGCACCCATGTCCCCTGAAGCCTACTTCTCTCAGCAGCCTGATGAGAAAAATGTAATTCAGGTTGAGGAATGGTTAGCTATCAAGGTAAAAATTATTTGTTGTATGTCTATATACTCAAATAATTCTCTAGTTAGGATGTCTTGATAATTTATCATTTATTTATGTATATTTGAAGAAAAAATACGAAGACATGAAACATCGAATCGAATCAATCATGGCAAAGGGAAGCATTTCCGAAGAAGTAAGGAGTCAACACAAAGGATTCTCGGAATGGTATAATTCTGAAGTAACAAAGCAGAACCATCAGTCGATTGTGCAGGTAAATAGAATGGATTTTATCATCTCGTGAAAGTCGCAGAAAGTAATACTATCTGAAGTAATGTTATGTGATATAATTTCAGATTATAATTGATGGGAAGGACACAAATGCTGTGGATAAGGAAGACGGTAGATTGCCAACATTAGTGTACATGGCACGCGAAAAAAGGCCAGGATGGCCTCATAACTTCAAAGCTGGAGCCATGAATGCACTGGTACGTACTTTCGATAAACCAAATTTTTGCTGGTAAATTTAGAGTATATATAACAAAAATTATGTATGTAGATAAGAGTTTCATCAGAGATAAGCAATGGAACCATCATCCTCAATGTGGACTGTGACATGTATGCAAATAATCCGGATGCAGTAAGAGAGGCATTGTGTTTCTTCATGGATGAAATGAGAGGCCCTGAAATTGCTTTTATGCAACATCCACAACGTTACAACAATATCACCAAAAATGATCTCTATTCTAATTGTGGTCACGCTGTTCATCAGGTATGGATTTGCTCGTTGTTAGTCCGGATTTTAGGCCTGAACCTGAGAAGTTTTTTATTAATGGATCATTCTTGATGATTGTGAAGGTTGAACTTGCTGGCATTGGTGGCTATGATGCGGCTTTGTATTGTGGCACCGCGTGTTTCCATAGAAGAGAAAGCCTATCCGGAGCAAAGTATTCTAAAGATTATAGAGAACATAAAAACTCAGAAGCCAAAGAGACTGATGAAAGAAGAAATGTTGATGAACTGGAAAAGACCTCAAAAATTCTCGCCAGTTGTAGCTATGAGAAGGACACTGCTTGGGGAAAAGAGGTTTCTATTCTATCACTATACTGTTCTCTTCTACGAACTTTCTGATACTCAAAATGGAAAACTCATATATATGATTTATTTTGTTTGTATGAAACTGATCATGATTATGAACTTGGCAGATGGGATTGTTATATGGTTGTCCAGTTGAAGATGTTGTTACAGGTTTGGCAGTCCAATGCAGGGGATGGAAATCAATGTATTACGATCCACATAGAAGGGCCTTCATTGGAGTTGCTCCAAACACTTTAGATATTCATCTTGTTCAATTCAAGAGATGGTCTGAGGGCTTGTTTCAGATCTTTTTCTCAAAGTATTGCCCTTTCATATACGGTCATGGAAAGATCAAACTTGGTGCCCAAATGGGTTACTGTGTTTATCTTTTATGGGCTCCAGTCTCCTTGCCTACATTTTACTATATAATTGTCCCTCCTCTCTGCTTGCTCCATAGCATTTCCCTATTCCCAAAGGTATCTCATATCTTAATCTAAGAACTACGCTAGAAAAACCGATCAGTCTTAGATGGAAAAAATGTATCGTACTCTTCAATTACTAGTCGATAAGAGTATATTCCAGCACTGAAATGGCTTTGTCATTGTGTTTCAGGTGTCAAGCCCATGGTTCATACCTTTTGCGTATGTTTTCATAGCCAGGAATGTGTACAGCATAATTGAAGCCCTGAATTGTGACAGTACACTGAAGGGTTGGTGGAACTTACAGAGAATGCTGGTGATTCGAAGAACTACATCATTCTTTTTTGCCTTCGTCGATGTAATTCTCAAGCAACTGGGGCTATCTCAAACAGCGTTTGCCCTCACTGCCAAGGTGGTGACAGAAGATGTGTTAAAACGATACGATCAAGAGGTGATGGAGTTTGGAAGCTCATCTCTCATGTTCACAATTATTGCAACATTAGCTATGCTGAACCTCTTCAGTCTAGTTTCGGCAATATTCAAGATGATTTTTCAGGATTTTGGAGCTCTAGAAAAATTGGTGTTTCAGGTTATTCTTTGTGGGCTAACGGTTCTGCTAAATATTCCAATCTATGAAGCACTCTTCATCCGCAAGGACAAAGGTTCCTTGCCCTTCTCTGTCATGTTCAAGTCCATTGCTATAGCTTCATTGGCCTGCCTAATTCCTTTAAATTAGAATAACTTCTATATTGTATCTTTAATTTTAGAACCATCCTAGTTTTTGGAAGTTATTTATGTATTTATACAATGAGAAATAATTAATCTTTAAGTGAGTGTTTGGTTCAGGGTCATAAAAGATAACGTTGATAATCTATTTTTTAATCCGACAATCACCACATTTAAGTGTCAAGTAATAAAAGATTATGATAATCGACTAATACTAATAGTGATTACTATAAGTAATATAAGGGGTAATTCGATTACAGTCTGAAAGGGTGTTATTTTTTCATTACCATAATCCACTGTTCATATCAATTTTACTCTTAATAAACATTTTAGATACAAATGTCCTCATATGTCTACTAAATAACAATTAGCTCAAATGGCAAAATGACTTCTGGAACCTCATATATTAACTTTTTGGATAGAAATACCTTCACTATTTACATGAATAATACCCAAAATACCCCCAATCACCCAAAATGACTGTCGGCCATTGGGCACCACCATCGACCGCCACCAACATTCTTTAAAATGACACACAACTGATCAAATCTATTCTAGCTATTAACGGTCAGATCTGTGACCGTTAACAGATCTCTAATCAAGTGTTTGATTAGAGATTGAATACAATTCATATATATATATATATTCTCGAATTTTAAGGATGTTTAAAAAAAAATTAAGATTTTGTGGACAATGAGACAAGTTGTCTTGTTGTTTCCTAGATGTTTTCAAGTGCTTGTCTCTATGTTCACATATTTAATTTATTCTCTAATACTTCAGGGATTCCAATAGATTAAGATGTGGCTCACAATAAAATGCAGTTACAAGGCTTGAGATAGATAATAAAAATATATTTCTTAAGCAAATAATTCTATCACATATAATTAAAAAACAGTCATGGAGGTAAAAGAAGAGACTCTAGCTCTCTTTGAGAGCAAGCAAGTTAAGGCTGGAGTTGCTTATTGGGTGTCTTCATGTACAATATTTTTGGGAATTTGTTTGATATTGTTTTACAGGTTAATAAACATCCCAAGAGCTGGAGAAGAAGGAGGATGGGCTTGGATTGGCATGTTCATGGCAGAACTCTTCTTCAGTTTCTACTGGATCATCTCTCAGTCTCTTCGTTGGAAACTTCGATACCATTTCCCTTACAAAGAGAGACTTTCACAGAGGTTTTATTTGTTGAACTTTACTTTTGCTTCTCCCCCCCCTCCCAATTGACTTTCGAATATGCATATTACAGATATGAAGACAAGTTACCTGGTGTGGACATTTTTGTATGCACGGCCGATCCATTGATAGAGCCACCAATTATGGTGATTAACACCATTTTATCAGTAATTGCCTATAATTATCCTCCTGATAAACTCAGTGTTTATTTATCTGATGATGGTGGATCAGAATTCACATTTTATGCCCTTTTAGAGGCCTCTAATTTCTCTAGATACTGGGTGCCATTTTGCAAAAAGTTCAATGTTGAACCAAGGTCCCCTGAAGCCTACTTTTCTCAGCAACCTGATAAGAAAGATACTAATTATGTTCAAGAATGGCTAGCTATCAAGGTAAATTGTTATATCTACTTATTTTTTCGTCGATTTTTTGTTACGAAATTTAAAAACCTTGTTTCCACTTAAAGAAAAAATATGAAGATATGAACAACCGAATCGAATTGGCCATTGAGAAGGGCAGAATTGCTGAAGAAGTAAGGGATCAACACAAGGGGTTCTCAGAATGGGACAATTATAGAACAATAAAGCAGGATCATCGACCGATCGTCCAGGTAAATATAAATTTACATTGCAAAGATTATATTATAATGTTTATAACATTTGTTCATCCACTTTATACTATGTTTGGTATGATTTCAGATTATAATTGATGGTAAGGACACAAATTCTGTTGATAATGAAGGATGTAGATTGCCAACATTGGTTTACTTGGCCCGAGAGAAGAGGCCAGGATGGCCTCATAACTTCAAAGCTGGAGCTATGAATTCTTTGGTAAAATATATACGCATAGTTTTAGATTTTCTTATGCGCGGACCCTTCCTGGACTTCGTAAACTGTATTTAAAAAAATCAGGACGTCTGCAGGATAGCAGAAACTTATGCTGCTACCATTGTTAAGGAATTTAGATTTTAATAAAATAATATATATATGCAGATAAGAGTGTCATCAGAAATAAGCAATGGATCAATCATCCTGAATCTGGACTGTGACATGTTCGCGAATGATGCAGATGCAGTACTAGAAGCAATGTGTTTCTTCATGGATGAAAAGAGAGGCCACGAAATTGCTTTTGTGCAGTTTTCACATGGCTTTTGTAATGTCACAGAAAATGATCTCTACTCAAATTATATGCACATAATTCTTCAGGTAGTAGTCATCAACAAAATTATTTTTTCCTAACAAAGTACCATTTAGTTTTCATTCAGAATAATTAATCTTGATGATTATATAGCTTGAGCTTCATGGCATGGATGCCTATGATGCGGCTATGTATGGTGGCACCGGATGTTTTCATCGAAGAGAAAGCCTCTCTGGAGCAAAGTACTCAAAGGATTACGGAGGGAATATTGACAGCGAGGCCAAACAGAAGACTGATAAAAGAACAGTTGGTGAATTGGAAGAGGCCTCAAAAGTTCTTGCTACTTGTAGCTATGAGAAGGACACTCAATGGGGCACAGAGGTCTCTTTTCTTGTGAAATATTACTCTAATCATCATATTTATGATTTTTTCCCCTTTGTTTATGAAGCTAAAGTGTAATATTTTTGTGAATTTTCAGATGGGGTTAATGTATGGATGTGCATCTGAAGACATTGTTACAGGCTTGGCAATTCAATGCAGGGGCTGGAAATCAATGTATTACAGTAAACCAAATAGAAAGCCTTTCATAGGTGTTTCTCCAAACACCTTAGAAATTTCTCTTGTTCAATTCAAGAGGTGGTCTGAGGGCTTGTTCACGATATTTCTCTCAAAGTGTTGTCCTTTCATTTATGGTCATGGGAAGATCAAACTTGGTGCCCAAATGGGTTACTGTGTTTATCTTTTATGGGCTCCAATCTCATTGCCTACACTTTATTCTGTCGTTATCCCTCCTCTTTGCTTGCTTCATGGCATTTCCTTGTTCCCTAAGGTGCCTCATTCTCGTCCTTATATCACTTCAATTGACATTATTATAATCAATTAGCGAAAATTCTCAGGTGGGGAAGTTCTTCAGGTTTATAAAATCCATACTGTGTCTATTGTTTCTCAGGTTTCAAGCCTCTGGTTCATACCCTTTGCATATGTGTTTATAATTAAGAATGTTTATAGCATATTTGAGGCCCTGTGTTGCGGTAGTACACTTATGATTTGGTGGAACTCACAGAGAATGCAGATGATCCGAAGGACTACTGCCTGCGTTTTTGCCTTCATCCATGTAATTCTCAAGCAACTGGGGTTATCTCAAACAGCATTTGCCATCACTGCTAAGGTGGTGACAGTAGATGTGTTAAAGCGATACGAGCAAGAGGCGATGGAGTTTGGGAGCTCATCTCTCATGTTCACCATTGTTGCTACATTGGCAATGCTGAACCTCTTTAGTTTAATTGCAGCAATATTCAAGATGATTTTTCTGGATTTTGGAGCTCTAGAAAAGTTGGTGTTTCAGGTTATTCTTTGTGGGCTAATGGTTGTGCTAAATTTTCCAATCTATGAAGCTCTCTTTATCCGCAAGGACAAGGGCTCCTTGCCCTTCTCAGTCATGTTCAAGTCTATTGCTATAGCTTCATTGGCATGCCTAATTCCTGTAAATTAGAATAACTTCTAAATTGTATCTTGAATTCTAAAACCATTCTAGTTTTTGAAAGTTATGTATGTATTTATACAATGAAAAATATTAAGCTTCAATAGTTTTCTTAAACTGTTAAAATGTTTAAGATTATTATGTTAATGGAATAACGTTATCCCTGCTGTTAACAGCTTGATTTCGGTTAGTCTTTGAATCAAACTGAATCACCAGATATGATCCTAATATTTGATTAAATTTGTTTTTGATTCAGTGAAGACAAACAAAGAAAATACTAAAACTTGCACTGACAAAATCTTGTAAATTGCTTTGTTTTGAAGCTCAAATATTCGAATAATTAGTTATAATTATTTTTTTATTGGTGACAATTAGAGAGTTAAACGTTAGTGTTGGACCCTTCCCCTTCCCATTCCCATTCCCGTTCCCGTTCCCGTTCCCATTCCTATTACAATTACCATTCCCCTTTCCATTCTCTTTACAATATGTTCTCTAGGAGTGTGATTCAAAGACATCAGTAACAATAGAGTAAACGACTTATTTCCATCCAAATAATGGTTTAATAATATTTTTCCATTTACAGACTTTTAAAATACTATTTTATTACTCAAATTTAAATTCTTATGATGAATAGAGAGCAAACTCCGCCTAGACTATTGGGGTTTTTGAAGAGGGGAGGTTGATGAGTCTTTTGGTGGTGAAAGATTGAATTTTAGTGATTGGGATTTATCGAAATTTGACTTGGGACGAATGATTATACAAACCCTAATCGCTCGATTGCTGGTGATTGGAGGGGTTGGTGAGAGTAGGGTTTGAGGGGTTTTGGTGAGTGATAACCGGGAAAGAGAATGATGGTGGTGTGGGGTCGCAACAATGCTGGAATTGAAAACGGAATATAAATTTGGGTAGTAAAATAGTATTTTAAAAATCTGTAGGTGAGAAAATGTCATTAAGCCATTATTTAGGTAGAAAAAAGTCATTAATTGTCACAATATCAAATCATAGAGTTATAAAACCCCTCAGGGACATCGTCAGAATTTTTAGTGAGTGGGTTCATAACATCTAAACTGATAAATTTATAATAAAATATATATTGAAATGACTCATTAAATTCCCAATTGTTCGCTTTTTAATATTATGATTGTGTGGTTGACAATGTCCTTTTTGCAAGTAGGCTCTTCTCACTTTGTCTTTATCATTAGGATGATATTTTGAAATTTTAATCCTTAATCCAGAATCTGCAGGAGGACAACAGATGTTTGTCTTAAGCTAGATTCTATAGGCTCATTGTGAACAGTATTGTGAGGTCTTATGTTTTGGTCAATTGATGATTCTTCATTAGAAAACTTTCTTATGAACAAAATTGTCCATAACTGAAAAAAAAAAAATTTATTATAAAAAATAATTAATTTGCAATTACAAATCCAAAAACACCAACACAAAATTCAATAATTAACATAGGCTAACCTTCCAATTCCTCAACTTAAACAATAATTGCGACTTAATTTATCAAACTCAACTTAAAACAAACTAATTATCTGATACTTCAATATAAACAAAATTAAATCAAAACCTATATCAAAATCTAAGAATTTAATTTTTCAATTTTAAACTTATTTATTAAACTCAATAAAAAGTCATAGCTCATAATTTTCCATCAATTAAGAAAATTAAAAGAAAAGATTTTTAAGAAAAAAAAATCATCTTACCTTATAACCTCTAAAAGAATAACTTTTCTTGAATAATCCAACCAAAGAAGAAGAAAGTAGGAGAGAGGAAATAAAAAAAAGGAGAAAAGGTCAAAAAATATTAATTAATACAAATTTTTGTAGGGTCAAAATTATAAATTTCATAATATGTAGGACCTTTTTGAATATTTTTTAAAAGTTGAGTGGCTCAATTGAATGCCTCCGCGCCTACCCTCATCAAAGTCCTTGAATCACGGCCTCCAGGATCGTGATCCAATATTCGGTAACTCCCAATAATGTTACTTGGAGTACCATAGTAGGACCCTTTGTGGGTTATATTCATCCACCAAAAGGGCTTTGGAATTTGCCACCATATTTGAACAATATCTTACACTGTTACTGACTTCAAAGTTCTCTTGATATTCGTACCAACAGAAAGGTTAATCAATTAAAGCCTTTCATGCATCCACCAATTTAGAGGGTTGACTAAGAAAACAAAGCAATTTTCTGATGCAATCTGTTGTAATGGTGAGCTTTGCCGGGCCAACCTGAAATTTTCTAAAACTTAGAACTAGAAAGTAAAATGAAGTATTCCCACCTTAAGTTTTGACTTTACAGCTCTCAAGTTCACATTATGATCTATGGCCACCCGTCTAATTAAGTAATTATAATTTAAAATAAGTGAAGAGTACCGCACTTAGTAGACTTTTGGAGTTGATCCAATCTCCTTCAAGATTCATGTTCAAATAAAATAATACCTTTTTCTTATCTCAATGATGTCACATACAGAGACCCCATAGGCAGGAAGAAGTAACTGGCCACCTAATTGCTGAGAACGTCGTTGCAAGATTATTACAAAACTATTGTCCAAAGTAAATATTAAAATATAATATTATAATCAGTCCCAATTGAAGCAGACAAATAACAAACTATAAAATATTAGTAGGGTTGGAGGCTCAACGTCTCTATATATTAAATCCTTGTTGATAAGTACTTATAATTTCGTTGAGAAAGTAAAAAATGGCTAATTGTGAGAACGCTCCATTGTTTGAAACAAGAAGAGCAAAGGGAAGAGTTTTGTATAGGCTCTTTGCAGCTTCTGTGTTTGTGGGGATATGTTTTATTTGGGCCTATAGAGTAAATCACTTGCCCAGCGACCAAGAAAATGGTAGATGGGTCTGGTTTGGCTTGTTTGCTGCTGAGCTCTGGTTTGGTATCTACTGGCTCCTCACTCAAGCCCTGAGATGGAACAGAGTTTACAGACACACCTTCAAGGATAGGCTCTCACAAAGGTTCCTCTCTCTCTCTCTCTCTCACTATAGTCTCTCCCTCCTTTAAAATTTACAGAGAAAGTCTTACTGAAAGTGAGCTTTCTAACTCATTTGCATTTTCTTACTATGTGAATGTTTACACCTAAGAATAAGTAATCATGCATACATGTGTTTGATTTTTCTCTTATTTATTAACCACGATTAAAATTGATGAATGTTCAATGGATGCATGGACATCTGGCCAATGTGAAACCACCACATTAGTTTCTGTGGAAATTCTGGAAATTCATATGTTTTTTTATTGGTCGGATGTGATAAAGTGGACTTTGGTAGAACTCACTCCCAAAAATCAGCTCCAGGGAGGAGGGAGTCCAACCATTTATATACACTATAACAACCCACCATTGGGGCGATGTAGGACAAATTGAACTTCTAACACCGTCTCTCACGCTCGGTGTGCAAGGCTGGGTCCAAACCCATCATCGCCTCAACCAAAGATGCGTTTGGACCCAGCCCTGCATGCTCGCACACCGAGCATGAGGGCAGGAATTGAAGTTAAATTTGAATTTGTTCCACATCACCAAGTTGGTGGGCTGTTATGGTGTATATATGTGATTGGACTCCCTTCTCTCTTGAGCTAGCTTTTGGGGTTAAGTTCTACCCAAGTCCACTTTATTATGTTATCAAAACTACGTTCCCTCTTTGGTTGGGGTGATGATGGGTTTGGACCCTAACCTTGCACCTCGTGCGTGAGGGAGGGTGTTAGAAGTTAAATTTGTCCCACATTGCCCCAATAGTAAGCTGTTACGGTGTATATATGTGGTTGGGCTCCCTCCTCCTTTGAGCTATCAGGATGCACATACAACTATATTATAATAAAAATTTATTTGTGATTAAGCAGATATGAGAATGAGTTGCCTGGAGTGGACATATTTGTGTGCACAGCAGACCCCAAGTTAGAGCCACCAATGATGGTGATCAACACTGTTTTATCAGTGATGGTATATGATTATCCACCAGAGAAGCTCAGTGTGTATCTCTCTGATGATGGTGGTTCTCAACTCACATTCTATGCTCTCTTGGAGGCCTCTCACTTCTCCAAACATTGGATATCTTTCTGCAAAAAATTCAAAGTTGAGCCTAGGTCTCCAGCCGCTTATTTTGCATCACTCTCTGACTCCCATACTGCTAGTCCCTCCAAGGATCTCACAGCTATCAAGGTATAATAAGTGTTATCAAATGGAGCCCCAAAACAACACTAGCAAAGAAACACATTTATGACAAGGAATTTGTTAAAAGACAATTTTATTTCTCAACAAATACTATTTTTTTTCTTTTTCTGATAGCTTTTCTTTTGTGTAGAAATTATATGAAGACATGGAGAATAGGATCCAAACTGCAACCAAGCTTGGTAGAATAACTAAAGAAATTGGCATGAAACATAAAGGATTTTCTCAGTGGGATTCATACTTATCTCCAGTTGACCATGACAGCATTCTTCAAGTAAATTAATTAGTACTATGTCCGCTAAATTAATCAGTAAGTTAATCAGTACTAGATTAACTTACTTTTTTTATTTCTAATTTTTTTTTTTTATAGATATTAATTGATGGAAGAGATCCAGAAGCCGTAGACATTGAAGGGTGTCCATTGCCAACTTTGGTTTACTTGGCTCGTGAGAAGAGGCCTCAACATTTCCATAATTACAAAGCAGGAGCAATGAATGCACTGGTAATTAAAGTCATTGATATGACCTCAATGAAAATTTGCATACTTTTCACGTTAATTCAAAAGTACATTTCATTTCTGAAAAACTGTTACTTGTTTGATGGTTCTGTATATGTGCAGATAAGGGTGTCCTCAGAGATTAGTAATGGACAGATTATTCTCAATGTAGACTGTGATATGTACTCTAACTATTCACAATCTGTTAGAGATGCTCTTTGCTTCTTCATGGATGAAGAAAAGGGCCATGATATTGCTTATGTGCAGTTTCCACAGAACTTTGAAAATATCACCAAGAATGAAGTATACAGTAATTCTCTAAGAGTAATCTGTGAGGTGAGAACCTATGAATCGGAATCTAATTGCAGCATAAGCATTTTCTTTTTTGAATGATGTTGTTGATGATTTGTTTCATGTTACTTGAAGGTTGAATTTCATGGTTTGGATGGCTATGGAGGTCCACTTTATGTTGGAACTGGCTGTTTCCACAGAAGAGAGACTCTTTGTGGAAGGAAATTCAGCAAGGAAAATAAAATTGAATTGAAGAGAGACTATGATGCAAAGAGGCAAGAAAGTGTTCTTGAATTAGAAGAAAACTTGAAGGCACTTGCACGTTGTACTTATGAAATAAACACAAAATGGGGAAGTGAGGTCAGTTGATTACTCTCTCACTTTATAGAGAACAGCAAATTTGTTTGTGGACTGTGTATTTTCTTAGCCGTAAATCTATCCTTGATTCCAGATTGGGGTGCAATATGGGTGTCCAGTTGAGGATGTGATAACAGGGCTAACAATTCAATGCAGAGGATGGAAATCAGTGTATTACAATCCGGAAAGGAAAGCATTCTTAGGTGTTGCACCGACCACGTTGCCTCAGACACTTTTGCAGCACAAGAGATGGTCTGAAGGTGATTTTCAGATTTTGCTTTCCAAATACAGTCCTGCTTGGTATGCACATGGAAGAATCAGCTCAGGCCTTCAATTGGGGTATTGCTGCTATTGCTTGTGGGCTCCCAACTGTTTGGCAGCATTATATTACTACACTTTTCCTTCACTTTATCTTCTCAAAGGGATCTCCTTGTTTCCACAGGTTAGTTCTCTCTGTTTTTCATTTCCAGCTGCAATTAAATTGCTTGAATCTTCAAGGCCTAAAATGCATGAAACCTCATTTATTTACTATTTATGCTTCATTCTCCTAGGAATCAAACTGTTTCTCTCAGTTTTGTATGTCTAACCGAATCAAATATTATGAATACAGCTCTCAAGTCCATGGATGATACCATTTGCATATGTGATATTTGCAAAGTACACTTACAGCCTGGTGGAATTTCTGTGGTCTGGTGGCACAATCCTTGGTTGGTGGAATGACCAGAGAATTTGGCTTTATAAGAGAACAAGCTCCTACCTCTTTGCCTTCATCGACACCATTTTGAAGTCACTTGGATTTTCAGAATCAGCATTTGTAGTCACAGCCAAAGTTGCCGATGAAGATGTCTCACAGCGATATGAGAAAGAGATTATGGAGTTCGGAGCCTCCTCTTCGATGTTCACTATATTAGCAACACTTGCACTGCTCAATTTATTCTGCCTGATTGGGGTGCTGAAGAAAGTGATCCTGGATCAGGGAATTTTTAGACTTTATGAGACAATGCTCTTGCAGATTCTTCTGTGTGGTGTTTTAGTTCTCATCAACTGGCCAATGTACCAAGGCCTTTTCTTAAGGAAGGACAACGGCAAGATGCCAAGCTCCATAGCAGCTAAATCACTTGTATTAGCTCTGTCTGCTTGTACCTGTTTCACATTCTTGTATTGATTATTTCTCTTTTTTTTTTTTTTTTCTCTTTCCTCTTTATAAAATTTTGTATTATGAATTATGTAAGTTGCAGCTAGCATACAAATAAAAAAAATCTTGTATTTCTGCCCATGGCTAATCTTTTCCAAGTCAAGAATGCTTTTAGGAGCAATCAAGTGAGGTTGTGACTATGTCCAATAATCTTCCTGTGGCCTCTTTTTTTATTCTACTTGTCTTGGTTAGCGGCATATTTTAATATTTCAGAACTTGTCAGAAGGACCCACTCACACCTTATCTTATAGCTAAAGGTTCCTTAGCTAGCCTTAATTTACTTCAATAAAGTGATAAACTGTCAGAATCGCTAAGGAATATGCGCGTTGTTATAGTCCAAAAGAAACTACTAAAGCATATTGATTTACTGAAAGCCATTTTTGAGAGGATGAAGATGGGAAGTGATGGCTATGCTCCTTTGTTTGAAACAAAAACAGCGAAGGGAAGACTGTTATATAGGCTTTTTGCTGTGTCTATTTTTGTGGGTATATGTTGGATTTTAGTTTATAGGGTGACTCACATACCAAGAGAAGGAGAAGATGGAAGATGGGCATGGATTGGCCTGTTTGGAGCTGAGCTATGGTTCAGCCTGTATTGGGTGTGTACTCAAGCCCTCCGATGGAACTGTGTTTATCGGTGCACCTTCCCGGACAGGCTTTCACAAAGGTCTCTTCCTCTCTCTCTCTCTCTCGTTATCCATGAATTATGTAAGTCTTAGAAGTTTAAGGTGAATTTGCAGATTTGAGAATGAGTTACCGAGGGTGGATATATTCGTGTGCACGTCAGATCCCATGATAGAGCCACCAATGATGGTGATCAACACTGTCTTATCAGTCATGGCATTTGATTATCCACCAGAGAAACTTAGTGTGTACCTCTCTGATGATGCTGGTTCTGACCTTATCTTCTATGCTCTCTTAGAAGCTTCTCGCTATACCAAACATTGGATTCCATATTGCAAGAAATTCAATGTGGAACCAAGGTCCCCAGGGGCTTATTTTCTGTCAATTTCTGACCATTGTGATCTGAAGGAGGCCAGTGAGTTCTTGGCTATCAAGGTACTCTCCAACAGCAACCTTAATTCTGTGGCATATTCAAAAGACTGCACACTTGTTGACTGATTAAAGGTAAACTGCCTTCCATACATTTTTTCTGCAGAAATTATATGAAGACATGGAGAAACAAATCAGAAAAGCAGCAAAGCTTGGTCGATTAGCTGAAGAAATTCGGTCTAACCATGAAGAATTTTCTCAGTGTGATTCGTATTCCTCGAGGTGTGACCATGACACTATTCTTCAGGTATATGATATAGTAAGATTTAATCATGCAAAAACATAATTGATTCATGCTTACCTGCAATAAAATGCATGTTTTCTTTTCTAAAATATGAAATTGTGCGCCATTTTTTACTATCTATGTATTTAGCATAACCCTTCAAGCAAATAAATGTTTATGCAGATACTGATTGATAGAAGAGATCCAGATGCTATAGATGTCGAAGGATGCTCACTGCCGAATTTGGTGTACTTGGCTCGCGAGAAGAGGCCTCAACATCCTCACAATTTCAAGGCTGGAGCAATGAATGCATTGGTAATTGACACACATTAATTTGGTAGAGCTTTTGATTCTGTTATTTTATTGTGAATCCACCATGTTTTCTTGTTTTATGGTCCAATTTGCAGCTAAGGGTGTCACAGAAAATTAGCAACGGCCAGATCATTCTTAATGTAGACTGTGACATGTACTCAAACAACTCAAATTCTGTGAGGGATGCACTTTGTTTTTTCATGGATGAAAAGAAGGGCAATGACATTGCTTTTGTGCAGTTTCCACAGAACTTTGAGAATGTTACAAAGAATGAAATATACAGTGGTTCATTTCGAGTAGGTATGGAGGTAAGTAGATATAAAGTACACACAATCTAATTGCAAAACATCTCATTTCCATTTCATTGTGTGAATTCAATGTTATATTGTTTGTTCATCGGTGATGAAGGTGGAGTTTCATGGCATGGATGGTTATGGAGGTCCTCCATATGTTGGAACCGGCTGCTTTCACAGAAGAGAGATTCTCTGTGGAAGGAAGTTTGATAGTGGATATACAGGAGAATGGCAAAGAGAAGAAAGTTTACATGCATTAGAATATAAACTAAAGGCCTTTGCTACCTGTGAATATGAGGAAAACACTGAATGGGGAAAGGAGGTCAGTCTAAAAGTTTAACCTGATAGAGAACTGAGATGATTTCATTTATCTAAACGAGATAAAATAATGCTTGACGCTAATCGAAAGTTTGATTACAGATGGGGTTGAAATATGGTTGTCCAGTTGAAGATGTGATAACAGGTTTATCGATTCAATGTAAGGGATGGAAATCAGTGTATTACAATCCAGAAAGGAAAGCGTTCTTAGGTGTTTCAACCACAACATTGCCTCAGACACTTGTGCAGCACAAGAGATGGTCTGAAGGTGATTTTCTAATTTTGCTTTCCAAATACAGCCCTGCTTGGTATGCACATGGAAAGATCAGCTTAGGCCTTCAACTGGGATATTGCTGCTATTGCCTCTGGGCTCCCACCTGCCTGGCTACACTATATTACTCCACCATTCCTTCTCTTTGTATCCTCAGAGGCATTTTCTTGTTTCCACAGGTATATTTTGAAGTCTAATGTTGTTAATTTCCACATCGCTAGCGAAAGAGAGTCTGATCTGTCTACACTGATCTGTTTTTTGACTTCACACAAGCATTCTTGATCTAAAGCACATCTACTTTAGTTTAACGGACTCAGCGCTTACAAATTTATCCAAATTCTCATTCGCTAGCGATGTGTGGTGTGATATTACTAGACTCATAGAAACCAAACTTGTTCTTGAAATTCATTGACACTAACTGAATCTGTATCTTCAAATCCAGTTCTCAAGTCCATGGTTTGTACCATTTGCATATGTAATATCAGCGAAGTACACTGACAGTCTAGTTGAATTTCTGTGGTCCGGGGGCACAATCCTAGGGTGGTGGAATAACCAAAGAATATGGCTTTATTTAAGGACAAGCTCGTACCTTTTTGGCTTCATTGATGCCATTTTAAAGTCATTAGGATTCTCTGATCCTGCTTTTGAGATCACATCAAAGGTGGCAGATGAAGATGTAATGGAAAGATACAACAAAGAGATAATGGAGTTTGGAGCCTCTTCCCCAATGTTCACCCTACTGGCAACACTTGCATTGCTCAACTTGTTTTGCTTTGGTGGGGTGGTAAAGAAAGTGGCTATGGAGGATGGTGCAATTAGATTTGACAGAATGGTGCTGCAAATTCTTCTGTGTGGAATTCTTATTCTCATTAACTGGCCTTTGTACCAAGGCCTCTTCTTCAGGAAGGACAAGGGGAAGATGCCTAGCTCAACCACTGTTAAAGCAATTGGACTAGCACTATTTGCTTGTACATGGTCTGTTTTCTTTGTAGGAAAATAACTTTTGTCAAATTTCCGTACAACAGATACATATACATCTAATTAATAAAAGAACGTAATCAATGTATGTGTATATAAACTATTTTTCAGTAGTCGAGTGGTTTGATAAAGACTTTTGTGTGTATTACTCAAGATTTCGTTATTTTAAGTCTCTTCTCTGTTGATAATATGTATAACCATTAGAGTTCTTATCCTACTGATAATTTTAATATCTTAAAAGATTAATTGAAGTATACATAAATATCCTCAATTATAAAATTAAAAAAATTACTTGTATATATGTTTATTTTTAATTAGTCGAACTAGTTCAATCAACAGTTAATGTTCTTTTTAACGTGTGTAATATATATTTATTTATTAAAGAATAATATTATACAATAAATAATATATGTTTTTCTATTTGAAAAAGAATTATAAATTATAAGTTATCGATAATCAATCAATATAAGATATGACCACTGATAAGTGATAGGCTAAGTCAGATGGGGTGTAGAGTTTAGTAATGTGTACCTGGACACAGAGAATGACAGCCTCTTTAAGACAAAAAGCATCGTAAGTACCCGAAGTTCCAACCACGTTCAACTACTTATATATCGCGATTCTGACAAAACTCAAGAACTCAAAAATTCAAAAGGGGTTTTAAGATTTTGTTCAACTTCAAAGGTACGATCTTTTAATCTCTCTTGTGTTATTTATAATTGAAGTTCTATTCTTTGATTTGTTTTAATTTAACTTCTGAATTAATTGCGAGAAAAATCATTTATTTTCTTATTTTAAAATTTATTTATTTGCTTTTGAGCAATGAAGATTTTTCAAAGTCACGTAGTTTTTGAGTTTTTCTTGGCAACCAAACAGAAAATGAGATCAAACCCCTTTTTGATTTATAGTTATTCATGTATTTGACAATGTTTTATGCTTATTCATGAAATACCCTCTTTTTATTTTTGCGTGAATAATTTTTAAGTTTCTGCGGAGGAGAAAAAAAAAAAAAAAAAAAAAAACCTTGATTTGTAGTTTGGAGCATATTGTGGATGTGGGTTTTTCTTCTTTTCTCTTTTGGCAAACTATTTTGCATGTTACTGTGTTTGATCCAATCTCATAATTTTTAAATTGTTGTTCTTTGACTTGCAGATGAAATTTGGGGCACTTAAGTTTTGTGTTGCTGTGCTTTTGGCACTTGTGTTGAGCCCACAAGGTGTTTTTGGGATTAGATTTGTGATTGATAGGGAGGAATGCTTTTCTTATAATGTGCAATATGAAGGTGATACAGTTCATACTTCTTTTGTTGTCATCAAGAGTGATAAATATTGGTATGGTGGAACTGAAGGCGTTGATCTTGTGGTAAGCTCCGTGTTTCTTCAAATGGAACTCAATAGTTTGTTTGTTTGATTTCGTGATTGTGTTAGTTAATGTTCACATAGTAAAGTTTATTTATTAGTTAAAAGGAATACAGTTTTCCAGATTTTGTAGGGCTTTAAGATGATATGTGGATTGCGGTTACTGTTACACAAATAGCATATGCACTTTAGATGACAATTTGCATAAGCTTCTCTGTTGTTTAAATTTTGAGTCTATAGCACTATGGTTACTGGGCTAAATCTTAACAATAAGCTTGGTAATGGTTGTATTGATTTCTACTTCTCAACTTTCCTGCAAGAGTTTCCACTAATCTGCAATGCTTTTGAACGTTTCAGGTGAAGGGACCTACTGGTGACCAGGTTCATGATTTCCGTGGTAAAATCAGTGAGAAATTTGATTTTGTGGCTCATCACAAAGGTGTCTACCGTTTCTGCTTCACTAACCAATCTCCATATCATGAAACTGTGGACTTTGATGTGCATGTTGGACATTTTTCATACTTTGATGAGCATGCAAAAGATGGTAAGCAAATGCACCTTGTTGTATATCCTTTTCTTCTTCTTGCTGAGCTCTTCAGAACGCTGAACTGACAAGTTACTATGTGCATTTTTGGCAGAACATTTCAACCCCTTGTTAGATCAGATATCGAAATTGGAAGAAGCTCTTTACAATATTCAGTTCGAACAGCATTGGCTGGAGGCTCAGACCGAACGCCAGGCAATATGTATGTATTCAATTTATTAAAACTGGAGATATGTTTATTTTTAATTCAGATGAAGCAGTGTCTAGTTTGATGTCTTTCATTCTTCATTGATGCCTTTTCAAACTGTTGAAAACCTTAGCACCCAAATTAAGATACTGCTAGATTTTCATTCTTACTGAGGTTTATGCACAAGTTGTGAGCACTAAATAAATTCTTGCGGATTCAGTCTTGAAAGCAAAATGATCTATTTTCTGTCGTTGTCTTTCTGATTGGAAATGCAGTAAATGAAGCAATGGGTAAGAGGGCAGTTTACAAGGCATTTTGGGAATCTGCAGCTCTCATTGGTGCTAGTGTTCTCCAAGTGTACCTCCTCCGCCGCTTGTTTGAAAGGAAGCTTGGGATGTCCAGAGTTTAGATTCAGCTTTAAGCTCCAAAGATTCAAAGTTGCAGGATTAATTTAACCCTTGAGTCATTGAGTTGTAGGTTCATATAACCTACTCTGCTGTTCCATGCTTTTGATTTTTGTTTTGTGATTTCTCAGCAGGAAAAAGAACACGTACAGGAACTAGATTATACTTTGTTTCGATGATGAATGAATATATCCATGTTTTTTATATGGCATTTGTAAGGAACCTGAATCAATATTCTTGAGCCATAGCAGCTGATCTAATATTTATCTGCTTATTTCAAAGATTTCTTAAACCTTGCCATGGATATTTAGATGTTTGATTTTTAGGGGTTTGTTTGAATCGTATCTCAAATTTAGTCCATACTCAAAGTCAAGATCTTGTGCCATTGAAAAAACCAGTGTCAAGTTAGGCTGTTAGCAACTGCCACAGTTCATCAATGTTGCTATTCAGATGAACTGGATCATTCCATTACTTGTTTCCTTTAAACAAGCTGCAATCTTTTAATCACTTGAAATTCTTGTACATACTCTTATCAATTACTCTCTTTGGGATCTTTCATATTAATTGATACAAACCATGATAAAATCTTTTTATGTTACAAGAAGCTTGTGTAAAAAAAGAAAAGTTACTTCACAAACAGAGTCAATTCACCAATACAATAAGCATAAAGAATATATGTCACAAACAAAAGCTCTACAGACCATAGAGCACAGAGAAGGCAAAGACAATAAATAGCTTGGCTTCTAATAATATCCCACAAAATCAGTAAATATAGATACAGTAATATTTTTTTTTTTTTTTTCCCTTCTTTTTTTCAGCTTTCCCCCACAACTCAATTTTTACAGCACATGAAACAAATTTCAGCAGGACTGGTCACAGCTCTATAGCTCCTATATTTCTTTAAATAGACAGTGGGGCCAGTTACACATGAACATACTCTTCCATGATAGCTTTTAAATGAGCAGAACCTCATCAGGATTCTGCAGCTGGGCTTTGGATGCAGCAAAACCATTTTTTCTGTGAACAGTGCATTTCCGCAAACACAAAACCATTAATATGCAAACAGATGTTTTGTTGGTAGTGTTAGCCCAACATATATATTCAATTTCAAGAGCTGTGGTGAATAATGGAAGAACTTACAGGCTGCGGTTTGCCAGGATCCACTCCATGCTTAATAGGAGGATCAACCTTTTTGGGTGACTCGGGTTTCCCACCCGTCTTTTTCTCATCCCTTGCCTTGTTAAAAATCACAGTGAATCCCTCAGCTGAGGCAGGATCATTGACATCCCATTCACCAAATTTAGGCAATGGGCGACCCTTCTCCTGTTTGGGAAAAAAAAAAATTCCAAAAGTATTCTCATAATCATTGATGTTTTAACAGCAGGGGGAAACCATAAGAGGCTACCATATATGCAACAGCACAGTATTGTTCACAAATAATATGCTTAATGACTGAGAAACATGTACTTCAGATATTCATATTGAAGTCTGATGACACTAACATCCTTGCTAGGCTGTCATCATGAATTGAGAAGCAAAGCAAGAGATTAACACGAACAGCAAGAAGTCATTAGAATAAAAACAACATTCTTCCGCTTATCAATTGACCTGGTGTTCTTGGTGGTCAGAATAAATGATCTGATTGGACTTTTATTGTTTTAAACCCAAACATAACAATTGAAACTGGTAATTTCAGGAAGCATTAATCGTGCAAGAACAAAGCCATTCAGCTCAATAGCAAAAGTTCCAGAAAGAAGCACTGTATACAGTGTAGAAACTGTGAGAAAATCTAAATCTTATTTTCTCCATTCAGATAAATTCTTCATACACAGCTTCATGTGAAAAACACATAGATGTTAAGACAAGCTAACTATGGTTTACATATGACAATCGTTCTCCTGAGACAACAACACTACAGAAAGCACTCAAAGCTAAGTTCCATTCAATAAGTATCCACAGTAACCATTATTCTACTTGATAAAGGTGCCTGGACTAAAAGCATTCTCTACTAGAACCATCTATTTCTTGGCCAAGTAAGTAAGGTAAGAGATTCTTTTGGTCCATTGAAAAGATGTCACTTTACAAACATGGATTTTTTATAACTTAGAAGCACCAGAATAATCAACTTCATAGTCCAAACAGATCTTTAAAGTAAGCAATCAAGATGTGTAAATCACAACTAAAGATTTGAGTGAAATAGGAATGACCAGAACACGACAAACAACCAACATTTTAAAGTGATCCAGCAAACCAAATTTCAAAGTTGTTTATATAGTTATAATTTAACACTCATGTAATTCCAGCCAAAGTGGCACAGAACACAATCCATACACTATGCAACAAACAAACCTCTGACAAATGGAATTGAATTACTTTTTAGGAAATTGTCAAGGTGCTCAATGATAAAAACATTTCCAAAATTAACAATAACATTTTTGAACTTCTTCATCCGTGGCATTCAATTTGAGCACTTCATAAAATACCAGAAACATACTTTTCATTGAATTCATTGAACAACAAAACATGCCATTTATGGATTCTCGGATCACACAAGACTGTTAATTTAAAACCTTAATTCTACCATATTACTACTCATTACTAAATGCCCCTTTACCTTATTAGCATCAGTATACTTTCTAAAGACCTCATAGCACAATAAAACACCTAAATTCCCATTAACACCAACCAATTTTCCATCTGAGATAATATCAAAACATTTTCTTCAAGCAGATTCAAGACTTAGCACAAAAGAACATACAATTCACATGTATAAACACACAAATAAAACATAATCAACTCCCGGAAAAATTAACCAAAATTCAACACTAATCAATTAATACAATAGCATCCAAATCAACCATAGATCACATCAATAAAACAGACAAACCCATTTCACCAAATCACAAACTAACACAAACCAAAATTTTCAGCTCAAATCGATCAATAAACAAAATCAACCAATCAATCAAACAAAAAAAAAAACAAACAAATACCCACAAAACAGGAGGTCATGAAGATTGAAACCTCGAAACAAAAATAGAAATTTGACAACAAAAAGACACAAACTTTGCAACAAAAATTAAAACTTGGCAACAAAAATTAAAACTTTTAGAGGGAGAAAGTGATCACATACCGACATGAATGAATTTTTCTAGAGAGAGAGAGCTTTTTTTTTGGCTGGAAAAAGAAGAGAGAGAGCTGGAAGAAAGAGAGATGTGTAAACAGTGCAATAGAGAGCCGAGAGTTATAGTTGACGGTGAAGTGAAGAGGAAAAACGACTGCGTTTTGGACTGAAGCCAAAGAGAGAGAAAAACGGAACGGAGGATGAGCTGGCAAACGGGGTGAAAAGGAACGGATGTTGGGTTACACGGAGGCAAGTGAGTGCAAGTGATGAGCTGGCACTGTTTAAATAGTTGAGTTTTACGAGATTATAAATTTTATTTTTATTTTTAAGTGATTAATTAATAATTAATTTTTTTAATTGTCTTGATAATTTCCAAAATCTCTTACAAATCTTTTTTGAAATTGTAAAAAAAATATTAAATTTGTCTGAAAATTTTATTAAAAAATTAGGTTAGCTAAATTAAGAAGATATCATTCATGGATATTCTCCAATTTTATTTTATTTTATTTCTTTTTTAATTTTATAAGTTAGTTGAGAAAAGAGTTGATGAAGACAACCCAACACCAACTAAATAATTATTTTTCTTTGATGATTAATTTTATTAATTATGATAAAGTAATTTTGATATTTTTNAAGCACCCTCACTAGTGTCTTCTTGCCTCAAGAGCCTTCTTTGCTCTTGAGCTTGGAGAGCATGGACAAGCTCAGTCAAAGTGATCTAAGTCATGTCTTTAGAGTCCTCTAAGGAGGAGATTTTGGACTCAAATCTCTCCGAAAGACTCACCAAAACCTTTTCTACAACCCTAAGATCAGTCAACTCCACTCCCAAAAGTCTGATTTTGTTGACAACATTCATTAGTCTATCAACATAATCCTTTACTTTTTCAGTTTCCTGCATTCTTTGCATCTCAAATTCCCTTCTTAGATTAAGAATCTGCATATTCCTTGTTGTAGTGCTCCCCATGTACTCTTCTCTCAATTTATCCCATGCTTCTTTGGGATTTTCGTATGCCATGATTCTTGTGAAAACAAGATCAATCACAGCAGCATGTATGTGAGAAAGAGCTCTCGGAGCTTTGGCTGTTTCTTCCTCATGCATCCTTAGTTTGTTCAACGTGGGATTCTGTCCAAGTGGTGGTGGCTGCCGGTTTTCTTCCACATACTGCCACAGTCCCTGTCCACGAAGGAAAGCTTTCATCTTTACTGCCCAGATGTGGTAATGATCTCCGTTGAATACCGGTGGAGCCATCAATACAGATTGCGTTGCCATGCCTTTGTTTTACGTGTCTGTCACAAGAAGAAGAAAGAACAACCACAGGTCTATCGTTTTGAGATGGAGAATGTCTTTTGAGATGTGATCGAAGGTTTACAATGCTAAGTTTCTGGATTTTGTAGTGGCTCTGATACCATTTGTTGGTTTCAGCCGGAGATCATCCAAGAGAAAGAAAAGCAGAGCACCATAAAATATTGCAAAAGCTTATCATATTCATTGAAGAAAGACAATATATAACACATAACAACTCTCTGCTAATTACACCAACTACAGCAGACATTACAGCTTTCAAAATTCAAATGTTACCACACATTTTACTTCTAATACAGTTTACTTAAATACCCTTAATTTTCTAAACAAGATATTACTCAAAAAAACACTCCCATGCACGTCAAAAACACAGCTGCATGTAACCTTCTGCATCTTCCACGCACAACCTGCAGACTTGAGCATTTGACACATTTCCAGCAAAGCATCACTACATCAACAGTCTAAAATCGTCTCAACTGTGCCTATCAACCAGAGTGTATTATTAACTGCAGAGAACTACAAAACATGGCCTTAAGGTCTAGAGAATCATACATTTGAAAGGCTATAATCGAATCTTAAGCAAAAATCCCATTACTTTCCAGTGGAGCTAGTAGCTAAAGAAGCCAGTTGCTAAAATGTTTAAAAAAGCAACTGTGAGTCGTAGGCCAGCGTCTTAGAATCATCAAAACTCATCCCGCATGCATAGTCTTTGTAGCGTCTACCAGTGTTGGTCTAAAATCATCTCAATTGTGCCTAGCAAGCAGAGTGTATTATTAACTGCAGAGAACTACAAAACATGGCCTTAAGGTCTAGAGAATCATACATTTGAAAGGCTATAATCGAATCTTAAGCAAAAATCTCATTACTTTCCAGTGGATATAATTCTAACACTCGAAACACCAACTTCTGCCTTCTCTAACATTATCTGCAAAGTTTATGATCGGTTACCATACAAAATCAGCTGGATTAGTACGACCTTGACATCTGGTACATGTCAAAAGAGTTTAGGGTATCATTAGGACTAAAACTATCAACAAATTTTGGCATTGAAACGAAACTTAGCAACAATAAAGCTAGACTTGTGAAAAAGAAACCATTTTGGAATATTATAAATTGAACTTTAGATCATAAAGAAATGGCTGAATATGCTTGCAGAAAATCATAAAGAAAGGCTAAATGTTCATGCTGTAGATTCTTACAAGTTACAATTGCCGGCAAGGATTTCTGAAACAGTGTTTGGAAGTGAATTGTCATGAGAGACTTGGGAAACCCCTTATGTCAACAGAACTATTAACTTAATAGATTTGAGATTTCCACGAAGCAGTGCTTGATTTTAGATTTTCACATTCCCATATCTTAACAGATCTAAGAGACGATTCATTATCCAATCTCTCTACTATTAACTTAGGCTTTGGGCAAACTTCAATTGTAAGAATATCTATTTATCTTTTCATGGTAATGGGTAGCAGTTCACTTGATGATAAGTTACTGAGATTTGAACAATCCCAAATCCAAAGCCGTGTGAGTGTTAAACGATATCAATTTATCTTTTCATGGTAAGGGGTATCTTTAAATTGGATAATGCTATTTGTACAAACTCTTTGCTTTAAATTTGGTAATTAAAATAATAAAGCATTATTAATTATGTAAAATAGATAAGATTTGGCAATAATTCAATGATATTCTCACAATAAAATAAATAAAAGAAGAATTTGAGAATAATAAGTCATTATCAAAAGAATAAAAAAATGAAAGAAAAATAAGACATGAGTATCAATTTAAAAGGATGGTGAAATCATAAAGTAATACTTTAATTAAACAATTACTAAATTGTTTAATGCAAGTTGAAGATACAATAAGATTCTCTTTTTCTTCCAGTAAGACAAGAAAAAGCCAAAAATAATTGGCCACAATTAGGATGTCACATTGGCATAGATTCGAGAGCTACTACAATGTATAGTAAAAACAATACCTCTTATGACAACCCTTAGATCAAGATCCAAAGGCTGTCCTTATCATGATCCAAACGCTAAGACGGTGGTAAAATTAGTAAATTACCTTCTAGGATAACATATTTCTAACGAGAGCATAGTGTGAACACGAAGATATACATAAGTTATATATTAGGTCTCCCAAGTGCCCAACTTCACTTCTCATCTATATGGAGTAGTTGCTTCCTCTTTTATCTTCCAAGAAAAGTCTCGTATATATCAGATGTACCACGTTACTCATACACCAACTCAATAAATACATAACATGATTGGTGGTTTTATCGGTTTTATACAAATAACGTGATACACACAATGTACAGTGAACTCTCTATGTATATGAGCTATTGTCCAGAAGAAAGACTGGTTTTGTTCCTGGGAACATGCCAACAAGAATTTATCAGAGAGAGGACATAAAGGGCAAGTTTTGTTGCGGATTTATGGAGTTTGAGCATAAGTGTCACTTACAGATTGGGCATGAGGAGCCATAAATTAAGAGCATCAATTCTGTGACCCTGCAATGGATGTTGGACATGCTGCATATGCCAGGTGTGCGTTCAGTCCATGAGACCCACATGCAGAGGGCAGAGAGTACCATATTTATAGTTTTGTTCCTCATTCTAGTAATCAGGAAAAATATTAAACCAACATATTCTATTTGATTGGTGAATCAAAGAATTTGACAACAAATCAGGATACATCTCCAGATCATAGATGGTCCATGTTGATCACAACATTTTACCAATTTGAGATTAACTTAATTCTTCACAAGTTTGAATATTGCTTGGTACACTTTAGGCAAGTGGCTCCACCTGCATTTCCTTAAATGTAAAATGGACTAATGACACCAGCAATTATCCTAAGCTTCAATTAAACACCAGAAGCTACATCAGATTCTAAGAGAAAATTGCATTGTCAAAAAATTAATCAATCACCAACAAGTAGGTCATCAAAAGTTGATATCAAAATATATTAACCAGAGCTAATCGGCAAGTCGATAATCTGAGGCAGAGTTCCTGATGTCAACACATCAAAAGCAAAATCCTTTCAACAGGTTCTGTGATTCACATGATTTTCAAAAATGATGTAGAGTGCACATCACCTGAAAAGAGCATAAAATAGATTAGTCCTGAAGTAAACAAGAAATATTGTGGAAAAAAGAATTAATCAAAGAAAGACGAACCAAATCACAAGGCAATAGAACTCCAAGTGTATTATACTATGTGTGCTCAACCCAACTACATGGATTTTCTACTCGTTCTGGCACCCTTTTTTTCTCTTGTGACAAAATGATTTGAACTTTTGCAGCGCAATCATCAAGCCCTCATGCAAATGTTGATTGCTTTCATCCCAATCCCAAGATATCATTTTCCTCTCCTGTAAATCCTCTAAAAGCAGTTCACCTTTTACAAAATTCTCCTCATTGGAAATGGCATCAATGAGAACAGTATAGGGGGTGGTATTGGGCCAAAGACCTCTTTGTTTAATCTCCTCATATAGTTCAAGTGCAGCCATAACATCACCACGTGCACAAAGGCCTGAAATGAGAACATTGTATGCAACCACATCAAGCTTCACTCCGCAGCGTTCCATTATGCCTTTCAACTTCAGGGCCTCTACAAAGTTAGCTTCTTTGCAGAACTTGTACATCAGAGTCATAAAAGTAGCAATAGTTGGAACAAGTCTCATCCTCAGCATGGGATTAAGAACCAGCATTGCTTCTTAAACCTTCCCACATAGTGCAAGACCTCTTACCATTGCACTCTCAACTACATCACAGGGACTGACTTGAAATGCCTCCATCTCATCTCTTAACTTGAATGCTCCTTGTAGATCACCCATTCTACACATACCATTAATTAAGGTAATA